GTCCCCCCAGGGCCCGGCGGTCTGGCCGTGTCCCCCCTCGTCCCCTCAGGGCCCGGCGGTCTGTCCGTGTCCCTGTCCCCTCAAGGCCCGGCGGTCTGTCATTCCCCGTTACCCCCCAGGGCCCGGCCGTTTAGTCCCATCCCATGTCCCCCTCCCTTTCCCTCAGGATCCGGGGTTTGTCCTGCCTGCTCTCCGGCTGGTCTAGGGGTACCAAGAGACTTGGTGATTTGCGTGCTTTTTTTTGGTTGGTAGGGATTTTTTTTTTTTACATTCATTAGTTATTTGAATACCATATGCGATTTTGAGAATTGTTCTTTAAACCACTTGCAGCTCTAGGTTACCATCTCTTAAAACTTTGTTGCCTGGCTTTATTCTGCATAGCCGATGTTCTGTAACTGCTTTGCCACGAATTCATACAGGCAAAAGTTAGGCATTGCTTTTTATAGTGTTCACCTTCCCAAGGTGTTATTTTCTTAACTTAACTATGTTGTTTTTATCATCTCTTGAGCTATCTTCAAGATCCCTTCCAACCTAAACCATTCTCTGATTCTATTTCCTCTCAGTTTTAAATATGGGGAAGAAATGTTTCCCTGTGCGGGTGGTGAGCCCCTGGGGCAGGTTGCCCCGAGAAGCTGTGGCTGCCCCATCCCTGGAGGTGTTCAAGGCCAGGTTGGACGGGGCTTGGAGCAACCTGGGCTGGGGGGAGGTGGCCCTGCCCAGGGCAGGGGGGTTAGAACTGGCTGATCCTTAAGGTCCCTTCCAAACTAAACTGTTCTACGATTCAGTTCGTAGTGACGGTAGTTGCTAGGTTTTGCATCCAGAGGTCCACTGTAGAAAGAATTGATGATACTTTAGGGAAATGGCCTATTTGATTAGATGAATTCCTTTGAGAGTGTTTTCTGTGAGTATTTGCATTGCAGATTAGATCTCCAGTTTTATATCAGACTCTTTGAAACTCCTCTTGAGGTTAAATTGGCAAAACCGTAGGGTGGATCACTTTGTAAAGTAATGCAGGAAGAATAGCTGCCTCAGTTTCCAAATACTTGAGGTTAAATTGTCCCTAGTCTAAGGATGAGTGTAGGGTACTTATATTTAGCATGACTAATAACCCAGAACCTAATGATTAAAGAGGAAGAACCTAATAATTAAATATGAAGAAAATGCATTAACAAGGGCAGAACGTGTGTGAAGATCTTCAGCTTCTTGAAGCTTGCTGATCTAAACACCAGAGAAGCACAAGAAAAAAACAAAAAAAACCCCGAACCCAGACCATTGTGAGTGCAAGCTTTAATTGTAATTTTTTTTTTTTTTTAACTGTAAGTGAAGTTTGTGGTCAAGAAGTTCCTTTCAAAAAGAGTCACTGTTTTAATGAGTAGGACCAAATAGCAAAGCTGCAAATTGGAGTAGCCGTTGGAGTTGATTTCTGACAAGGCTAGACAAAATCTCTTTGGAGCATTTGGTTTTTTTGGTCTGAATCTCATGTGTCAGCAAGAGAATTTATATGAAACTTGGTATCTTGAGAATATCTCTTCAGGCTGTCAGGCAATGCCTCTTCGCTGCGTGGATTGCTAGGCTTCAAAGTATTTGTTTTCTGGCAAGAAAATAAATTCATTGTAGACAGTGGCAGACAATTATCTCCCAGGTTCTAGCGGGAAATTGAACAGTAAATCTCTGGTTTAAGGCTTTATGGCTGAAATCATTACTTTTACTGTGGCTTTTGGGGGAAGTACTGTAGAGCATTAAGCCAGTCACAGGCAAATCTCAAGGATGTGAGGAAGGAGAACTCTTTTTGTGAGAAGTCTCAACTTTCTGTACTTCCCCCCCATGTTTTTTCTCTAAATCATTCGAAAAACACTGAGTTCACAGTTTGCTAATGAACTTTCTCAGGTTCTATGTCTGTCCAGAGTGCTAAGATGCAGGCTGTTTGTTTTCAGTTATGGCTTAGGAGCTGGTCTATCGTCCAGTCTGTGCTTTTAAAGTCTTGTGTTGGAGAAGAACTAATATTGGTTGCTTGTAAACAAACAGGTGAAAGGTACAGTGAATAATATTCATAGGCTATCGCTAAATGTAATGTATTTGGAAGCAATGGAGTGAGGGACAAGGTTATTTAAGATTATTATTATTATTAATACTGGTATTTGAAGGTACTGCTTCAGGTGGTTCTTTTTACTACCTGCCAGCCAGGCGGGGTTACCAGTATTTCTAGATCACTTATGGCAATTTATTCCCCCGCCCAGTCTCCTTTTCCTCCATTTAAGTATTTACCAAGCAGTTCTTATTTATCCATTCAAAAGATCAGAAAACTGATTTGGATGATGGTGACTTCATGCTTTGCTGATTCTCTTTTGTTGCCATCTTCCCCTGCCCTTTGCAGTCTTCAGTTTCCTTGCAGGACAGCTCTGCAGCGAGAAAGGCACGGTTTCATAGTTTGCACTGAGTCCTTAGATGAGTCTCTCTTCTGTGAAGCAAAGCCCACAAGAAATTAAAAGTGGATTCTCAACTTGTGTCTTACAATGTAGAAATTAAACAGGAACCTTTTGGTTATCATCCCAATAAACTTCCACCTATTTTGAAATATCTACGCAGTCTGTTAACCACCCCCCGAACAAGTTTAAGTGTGTTTAATGGATCATCTAAATAGAGAAATGTTGTCTGTGATGAGTTGCTAGTCCTGCCTTCTGATGTTTACACATCCAAACAATGCTCTTGGGCCAGGTGAAAACAAGAATAAGAAACATTTTAAACTGAAAACCGCAAAAGGTTTTACTGCTTCTGGAGCTTCTGATCCTTTGAAACAGCGAAGCAGCTTCTTTTCACTCAGTGTTAGTGGATTTAGTCAGCCTTAAATTGTTGATATGCGTTCGGATGTCTTTTATCTTTGAAGATCTTTGACAGTTGATTGGTTTTAGGATTACTTTTTGATCCCATCTAGAATGAATGGAAACAATGACTGATAATTGGTATTGAGCCCTAGCTCTGTGCTGTATTGTACCACTTTCAAAATAGCAATGTCTAGAAAAGAGGAGCAAAAACCTTTGAATTTTAGTGATAATTCTATTGTGTTTTGTAATCTTTGTGCACGTAATTATATTTTTTTTTAAGGAGGAGAATGTACTATATTACATTTATTTCATAATCTGAAAGAAGAATAGCATTTGGAGTAATGGCAACAGGAGACCTAAAAGGAAGTTTAAGAAAAATAGAACAAGGACTTCGCTTGTTAAATTACCCAAGAGATGTGGATTATACAGTGTAAGTGGCAATGTGAATATATTTATGCTAATACATGATGACAGCAAGATGTGTAAACAAGATATGTATAAATATTAGCATTGCACCCAGTGATGAGTAAGCAGAGCATATGTCTGTGGGATGTTGAGGTCTGATACGTGTGAACTGGAAGATAAAAGGATGCAGTTTTGTTGTGCTGCGCAGTCCTTAAAATGATCTTGAAGTGTATCACTATCTTGCTCTTCTTTCTCCTGCTGTTGTTCTTTTTTTTTTTTTTTTATTTTTTTTATTCTCACTATTATAATTTCTTTGTAAGTGCTACCAAAGCTGTCTTCAGGACATTTCATCCTGTAAAGATTAAGGAAAAAAGGTGTTGAATCTTGAGATGGAAATGATGGTGGGCTTTAGACCTCACAATGTTGTAATTATATGAGGATCCCAAAAATGTTGTTTTGAGCATTTTACAGACAACAGTAAAGACAGCTGCATGAGATATGCCTGGAAAAAAACCTTAAAATAAAGGGGATACTTGTGTATAATGTACTAGCTGTATTAAAACACCTTTCAAGTTAAATGTTTGAATCAATGTAATGACAGGCTTTTGTTATATTCTGCTGTGTAAAATACTTTTGTTTCTCAATAGGTTAGTAAAGGGTGATCCAGCTGCATTTTTACCTATCATCAGCTATTCTTTTACATCTTTTTCAACTCACATAGCAGAACTTTTGGTAAAGTGTGATGTGGAACTCACAGCAAAGAGTGACTTGCGTTTTATTGAAGCTATTTATAAGGTATCTCTCTTCATGTCCTTTGCAGAGGAGGCATGGTTTTGAGTATGGCCTCGTAAGAATTAAGTCTAGGATGAGTATTACTAAAAAGTGAAAATTTTTGGCAATGAATGTGAATTGTAATTTTGCTAGGATTTTAGATGAGTAGTAGGTCGCTGTGTGGCAAGTCTTTATTTAGATTTTCCTGAAAATAAGGATGGATGTTGTTAGCCGCATTTCAATTTTGAGACAGTTGCAGAAGCAGTAATACTATGTTTTTATGTTAGTCTTGAACAATACTGAAGTATTTATTATGCTTTTATAGAAGTGACCTTAGAAGAAATCATAACCAGCAAAAAATCACAGCAGGCTTCAATAATTGTAGTGAAAGCACAATCAAGAAATACAGCTATTTTAAAACACGATGCCTTATTAGTATGTAAAGTCCAATATTAACAGTTTATAAATTGGAATCAAATTTTGAATGGCATGAAAATAATTTTGAGCTATCCATAAGCACATTTTTATCAAAGGTGACTTGATGTATTAAGGAATACTAGCTTATTCAGACTAGTTTTCCATCTGAGGAGGATGGAGACTCCTTTACAAAGAGGCTTTGTGGGAGCCTTACTTAGGCCTCTGACACATTTGCTGAGATTTTTATTGTGCATTCACTTCGGAGACTTTTTGTTTAAGTTTTTAAATATTAATGTCTACAATAATTTATTTCATGAACCTTAAGACTGAGTTAAACTTTACAAGAGTGATGTGAAAGAAATGTTTCTCGAAGAGGTACATTTAAAGTCTAGTTAAAAGAAACAGCTGAGAATATATAAATAAGCAAATGAGAAAAGGTTTAACTGCTGAAGTGCAGAATGAAAGAAAAGATTGTAGAAAAATAAGAACCTGAGCATGCCATTTCTACAACAAATTGTGTGGTGATTTTGAAAGTGAAGTAAACTCTTATCTTGTTGCAGCTTCTTCGAGATCAATTTCAATATAAACCAATTTTAACAAAACAGCAGTTTCTTCAGTTTGGCTTTGCAGAAAGAAAAATGCAGATCGTTTGTGACATTATCAACTGTGTGGTGAAAAAACATAAGGAATTAAGTAACTCGAATAAGGTACCGATTAAATAGTAACTTCTTTTGACATGCCTGGTGATGCAGGTAGAAGCTGAAGACCAGTTTATTTGAAGGTGCAGAATCGTTGTCAATCAAAATAGGGGGAAATGAGTATGAAGTTCCATTGTAAGATGCTTGAGTGTTATCAGGTGTACAAAAGACACAAAGCTGCCAAGGCTTTGTAGTATAAACAAAAAAACATTAGGATGAAGAGAAATCTAGTATTTGGTATCTTTACAGTAGGTGATATGTCGTCTTTTGCACTTAACATAGTGAATGTTTGTGTAACTTGGTAGACTTCAGGTAGATTTAAAAACAAAGCAAAATCATCTGGTATGTTGAAGTTCTGGTAACATTTAATTTAAACGTGACACTTGTGTTTCAGTGGTATACTACTCAAATTGATTATTTTCATTAATCATATTTGTCTTAACATTGTTAAGGCATTTTTCATCACTGTATGCTGTGTATCAGTTTTTTAATAAAAGGAATTTTCAGTCTTCATATTTTACAGGATTTTGCTTTGTTTGAGTTTATAACAGTCTTCAGGACTTCTGTATACTTCATTTGTCATTTTTGGGCACATAACTGCATTTTTTTCATATTTGTTTTTCTTTCAACTCCGGTGCAAGTTGTCTTTCCTCTTTACAACCAGCTTTCATGCAGCCATGCATAGGCATGTCATTCACTTCCAGATCTATTTTCTCTGTAAATTTGGGTCATACTTAAATATTTTTAGATGTTATTGTACTGCAAAGATTTAAATGTGTTTGTGTGTACTGTGCAATATTCCTGCCTGTCAACGATGGCAGAAAATGACATTATCAACTGTGTGGTGAAAAAACATAAGGAATTAAGTAACTCAAAAATATTCCTGTGTTAGAAGCATAATATTTTCTCCTCTTCACTTTGAAGGTTAAATCCCAAACAAGGAAGAAACTCAGATCTTTTAAATATGAAGTATGGTCAAATTGTGATAATGTCCTTGCTGATCCTAGTGGCAGTGCTCTGAATTCCAAACAGGTGTGAAAATAATTTTTATGTTGTATGTCTAAAGGTTAATCTTGTTTATACCAAGTCAGGCTCTTTCTGGAATATGTGCTTTTGTTTAGGTTTTAATGTTTGATCAGACCAGTTTTGTTTTGGTTTTCAGTTGGTTTTTTTCCCCCCCCAAAATGTGGTTGACTAAAATAATAGCTGAAATACAGAGGATATTGCTTCTCTCTTATGCTGAGTAGTTGATCTCAAAGTGTTGATGGTAATGATCTAGTACTGTTGTCTGCTATTTGAATTGTATCAGATGGCGGGACAGCAATGAAAGTGAATATGCAATTGGAAAAAGAATGTACATCCTGTTTGGGGAATGAAGTGTGTTTGGCCCAACATTGCGGTGTTTTCAACATATCTTTTAGAACACTTTTTACTTTTTTTGTCTGAATCTGTTCAGCAAAGATTTCTTAATGTAACATTCCTCTTGGCTTCAGTTTTACAAGTGTAACACTTGATTTTATGCGTTATGCTGCTCTTGGCCTGTGGAAGAGACAAGTTTCCTAATATTTTCTACTATAAGGGTGCAAAGTAAAATTGTACAAATCTTTTAGGACTGTGACCCCCCATTAGATGTTGGCGATTTCTATTTAGAAGGAAAATACTGCTTTTAGCAGGGAGGAAAACATCACAAAGAAAATATGTGGAATGACTTATGTGGTACTTCTGTTGTTGAATGGTAGCATTGAAGGGGGGGGTATGTGTGAGTATATTAAGAATTCCCTAGAAGAGGAGAGTTTCAGCTTCACTAGAACATCTAGCAATCTGTAAGTGTTAAGATGCTGCACAAAATTACAAATTGTGGGTTCTTAATCATTAGGTAGTTTATTTTGGCTTGTGGCAGGTAGTGATCGTAAGACTTGATCCACCTGGAAAGAAAGGCAAAAGTTGTCTCTTCCTTTATTCTCTCTAAGGGAAGCATTCAAAGGAAATGTGTAGTTAGTAGTGCTATTTTGCCGATAGTTCTCAAGGAAAAGAGAGAGTTCTAATCTTGCTAGTTAAACTTTTATTTTCCCCCTCTAAATGTTTGAGTGGTGGTTTTGATGTTGGAACTGTCTATACATGTGTTAGTACATACAGGGAGATTCATACCTCCCAATCCACGCTTAGAAATCTAAGAACCCTTACAATAAGAGAGGACGTTAATGCCTTCATTACTGTTTACGGAAGGGAACCAGGGTACACAGTACATATGGTAAAGTCTCTTCATATTTGTTTTACAGTTTGTTCATGTCTATATGATTTTTTTTTTTTTAATGAAACTACTCGCTGTTGCTTTCTGTGTTTTGCAACCAGTTGGAATAAAATTGTCAGATTTAAATCAGCGCATACTAAAACGATAGGTCTTTTCTTTCAGTTACTTGGCTGATGAATTGAAATGTTCTTGTAATAAATAACAGCAGTGATTTTTTTTTTTTATTTTTATTTTTTTTTAACACACTCAAAAGAAGCCTCAAGTAGAACGGCACTCAGGAAATGAAGTTAGTGATGACTTTCATCCACTACCCCTTCCAGCACAGGGAGCTAATGAAGAAGAATTGTGCCCAGATCATGATGCTGTGGAAGTTAAATGTGAACAAGTAAGAATTTTTATTTTAAGATGCTGTCTGCATGTATTCTTAACTTTTTTAGAGGACTTTTCTAAAGGGATAACGATTTTAACAAGATAGCTGCATGGTCCTTAAGTATAACTAATAGATGTATAATAAATATATTGAAAAAATTGAAAAAAAAGTCAGTTAAATTGTACTGTCTTTTCAAGAGCCAGTTCTGTCAACAGTTTCTTTAAAAAGCTGAACTCCACAAATAGGCGTGTTAAGGCAATTCTAAAAGAAAAATAATTTTCTAATGTAGCAGAATATGATTACTGAACTTGAGGAAAATTCCACTTAACTTCATTGGTCAAATGATAAATTATATCTATTTTGAAATTAGAGGACGTGTTCTTATCCATAGTTTCAGGTCGTAGAAGATAATTCTCAGATTGAGTTCCTAAAGAGTCAGCTTGCTGATTGCCAGGAAAAGCTTCAGAAGCTAGACTGGATGGAAGATAAACTACATGGTTTAGAAGAGAAACTGAAAGGAAAGGTGATCATAGATGAGAAGGACTGGAATAACTTGTTGAGTCGAGTTTTGCTTCTTGAAACAGAACTGTTGTTGCAATCCAAAAAGGTATGTTAACTTCTGTTTTTCTTCCATAACAAAAATTGCTCAGACACAATTTTGTCAGCCTGTTTCTGTTCTGCCTGCCTCCTGATGAATGCTTTTTCACTGTTATTTAAAGGCATGATCGGAATGGAAGCGCTGTTTAAGGAGTTGGTGGTAATTTTTTTTTTTTTTTGTAACTGTTAAGTTCGGTTGTTTTTCTCATGATCTGTGAAGCAAAGCTCTCTATTGGAAACTGTTTGCTTGCAGGAACAGCAGGTTTAGCTAAGCCTGTTTTCGTTAGTAATGACTGTGTGTTTTTATTTCCTAGTGAACTTGTAGGAGGAAGCTTTTGAAGACTCTTTATGTTGTCTTTGAAAGTTTCTGTAGTTGAGAGTTTCATCATGCTAGTGACACATCTAAGGGTTTCCTTTTTCTGGTCTGCGTTATTTTGCATTTTTTATACTGGCCTGCAAATGCTGCCCCTGTTGATACAGTTGAATTTTTTAATTCTCCAGACTCTAATCGCATACAGATATTCCCTTTGGAAGATTCCGTCTTCATTGTATATAACTAACATTGACAAAAATAGATGGGATGCTCAATGGAAAATACAAGGTTAATGGAGAAGTGAATTCTTATTTTAGTCCTATTCTTAGTTTGTGTCTCTGAAATTACTGGCTTAATCGATGGTCTTTCTCCTTTTTGCATCCCCCCCTCCTCCCCCGCTTTCTTATGTCTTCTCTGTGATGTTCATTGCGTTTTTAAACGTGTGAAAGTGCTACAGTTGTGATGTGGCTACATTTGGCATATTTGTCAGAGCAAATCAAGTATTTTGTTGCATTAAGGCTCTGTTATTTTTCATGCTGTTGAAAGGTCCTTGTGTGCACGTTATATAATTTCATATATGTACACATGTAAGTATTCTGAGATGCAGTGAACCATAGCATCAACTTTGTGATCACATGCTTAATTTCAAAGATATTTGCATATGTATCTCATGTGTGTCCTTCAGATACTGTCAGATGCGTTCCAGAAGTTGAAAACCCTTGTGGAAAATCGTTGATCAGTGTTGTTTTTTGCTCTGTAGCTGTAAAAACGCTGAATTTACTTGTAACCGGGAGCTCTGTGTGTGTTGCTGGCCCTGCAAATTTGAAAACGTCACTAATACCTGTATACAAGACATGTTTGGGTTTTTTTCCTGCGTTCCTTGAAAGTGTGCTAGGTATACAAAGTCTCGAAATGGAGAAGTGTTCAGACTGAGCAGAAGGTTATTTCTAGAGGCTGCAGCTCAAATAGTAAGGATTGACGTTCTCAATCACTGGTTTTTTTTAAACACGGTTTCAGGTCAGTAATGGCTCAAGTGATTTACCATTTGAAATCGATTTCTTATGGATATTTTAATGTAATTATCACTGGACATGTATCCAAATAATGCCACCAGTGATAATGTTTGCTTCTGCTAGCAGTCTCAAGAGGTTTTCAGCTGAACAGCCATAGGCAGTTTTGCTCCTCTTTCAAGTATATTCTCTTCAAGAGATAAGTGTTGCATTTGTGACGGGAACAGCAGCATGGGAAAGCTTGTGCTTCAGACTGGACTTCTTCTTTTCCTTCTGTAAATTTGGATTATTATTACTTCAGTACCATGCTTATTGCAGTTGTTCAAAGGTTTGGAATAGTATTTGGAAAATACTTCATGTTAATATCGCTCAAAAATTTCCAGTAAGATAATTATATTTCTGTACTACGTATTACTGAAAGAAGTCATCTGCAGAAACAAGTTTAAATGTAGTTTGTGTGTGGCATTGTTGCTTGTCTTTTTTCAAAGCAAAATAAGCTGGTTTTCATATTAAAAGAAAAAAAAAAGTCTAACTTTTTTGCAATAGGCATTTGAAAACTGCCAAGAAATAATCCTTTGGGCCCGAGAATTGCTGCTTCTTTGTTTCATGAAATTCCATCCAAGTCGTGCTTCACAGATATAGAAGCAATTCAGAATTACTCCTTTCTTCTTACTCTTGCATTTTTCAGGGAAGCTTTGGCATCTAGCCAACATAGCAGGAACACTCTAAGATCTGTCTTGCACTGCTGCCAAAGTAGCAGCAGCTGTGCATTTAGCTCTGGGAAAGTCTGAAAGCTACCAAATCCATTTCAATGAAAGGAATTGAGCAGAACCAGTCAATGCAGATATCTATTTATTTTTATTTTTTTTTAGAGACGTATCCATTATTAGTTTTTTCCAGCTTCTTCCCACACAATACCTACTATTTCTCCCTCATTCACTTACTTGAGTATAATATTCTCCTGTTAACTGATGTAGTTACTCCAGTAACGACAAGTGATATATTTCACCAAAGGCTGAGATTTCAAATCATAATGATAACTCGTTGACAAAAAAATTCTGGATATTGTTTGAGGGTTGGTGTTTTTTTTATTTTGAAATTAGAAAACAGCACTCAAACCCATTTATTGTTAGTACAACATTAATTTTGTTTCCTCGTTTATGAACAACTTTTTCTCAGCTCAATTGAGTAAAGTGAGAACCTTTTTCAAAAGAGTCCTCTCTCATTTAGGAGCCTGGGAAACTAGCTTAAAATAGACTTTTGAGTTTTAAACGTTTAAGTGTAATGAATTTCAGTTCATCTGTAGGCTAATTTTTTGGGACCAAGGAGCTGCATTTCTGAATATCAACCAGAAGTTGAAGGTACACTTATTTTGTGAAGGTCACGGCAGCCAATGTCAAGATGTAATTGTTAGCACAGGCCAAGAAGTGTCTGATTATTCATTTCACTCAGCCCTGAGGTAAACGCACTATAACTGGACCTGGTTTTGACCTGGTTACAAACAGCAATAGTGATACTGAAAAAGCTCCCGTAAAATAGACTAGTTTTTAAATGCAATGTATGTATGGAAATACTGGATTTTTTTAGTCCTGTAAGGACATTTGCACAGGGCCAACATATCTGGATGGTGTAGCAAATGCATACATAATTAGTCCTTAAATATACTTTTGTTCAGTCAAAAGATGATTTACATGTGTACGGCTAAATGTACGTGTACGGCTAAAATGCAGTAACTTGTATTTCAGAGAGACTTAGCTACAGAGTTCAGCAATATAAGTCAAGAATGTACTTCTGGTCGGATTCCAGTTTCTCCTGGTGAGTATTAATGATTTTCTTTTTAATTAACATCCTATTCTAAACACTTCTTGCTGACCTTGACTAAAATAGTGGGTTTTAAGTAGACAATTGCAATTTAGTGACCTCTGAATTTAAACGCTTGCTGCAAATTAGAAATTAACCTGGTAGTCATTTCATGTTTGTAACTTATTCCTTGGAAGCTCTACTTACTGAAATCGTCTTTAAGGCATTAATGAAAATATATAGCAATAGGAATTAATAGTTACGAAGAAGTCTACTAAAAATCTCAAAGATGCGAATTTAATTAGGGTGCTATAGCTAAAGCTCTCACAATAATGTTGTCTATGCTTCAAAGCAGTAATCATAATGTTTTAAAAATAAGCTACTTATAAGCACAGAAGGAATTATATTTGCTGCCACGTGTTTGTTACAAGCAAAATAGTGTCACATTTATGATGTTGATTTTTACTTTTATAATGGGGCTCAGGACAAATCGGGGCTTTTTCATTCATAATCCGTGTTGTTCAGCACTGGTTTGAAAAACATTCTCTGTAGTTTCATCCCTTTTGAAGCCGTTAGCAGTTATCCGGCTGTCATTTCTGCTACACTTTCTTATTTTAAAGAGCAAGACAAAATCTTTTTCTTCCATTTCCAACTTAATTTTGATAACATACAAGAAGTAAATGAAACAGCCTTAAGTGAGAAAGATACTAAAAACATTCCCCAGGCCAAAAATAATTCTCTCTTCCTCAAAGGTAGCTCTTTAGTCCTTACCTCGCATTGTTCTTTTTAGTAATTTGGCCTCTTTCCCCTATGGCAGCTGTTACTCCTACCACCAGGAGTGAGGAGGATATTCTGTTTCCCATTCTCACTTATTAGGCGCTTTTATTCCAGTGTTGGGCTGTGGCATTGAAATTTAAAAGGGAATCTCAGTAACTCAGTTTCCATGGAAATTAGGAAGGTGATTTCTTGGTTATGTCAAAGTTTGTTTTAATTTTGAAGTCTCGGAAATGGGACCTTCTTTTTACAGACCTTAGACAGCTTGCAACATGTTTACTTCCTTTCATAAATTTAGTGGTATCTTACTGGCACCTGAGGACTTCATAGGCAGCAAGCAGGCTGATGGTCTTTTAAAAGAGAAGTTCCATATTTTCAGACTTCTAGAATTCTGCTGAATTTGTTATTCCTGTTTTTCTAAAATATGATTCAGGAAATTTTAGGCATACCAATTGCGTGGCCAGTTTTAACTCTAATGTCTGAGATGTACTGTTTGGTTGTAGTACAGCTGTGATTCCTGAAGAGCACAGAAGAAACAATTTTTAATTTTAATTGATTAAAAATAATTTAATACGATTTTAATACAGAATAGTGTAGGTAAATGTGTTCCAAAGGTATGATCCACAGATGGTGGCCTTACTAAGAATAAAGGTATGGAAACACTATTTCTCTTTTTTTAAATACTAAATTCCCTTCCCTGGCAATAGCATTGTAAAATTGCAAAGAGTATCAAAGCCTTCCTGATGTAAAAGAAAAGCCTTCCAGCTGAATGGATGCTGAACCTATCCCAAAGGGAGGAGAGCTAGGGAAACAGCAAGAGCTTGATACAAATTTTAAGCTAAGCAAGAAGGTGATGATTTTGTTAATATTTCTTCTGCTTATAAGACAGGTTACTTAGCACAAACTAAAGACGTGTTGGAACAGGAAGTTTGCAACAAAAAATGTGTAAACTGTTTGAAATGACTATTAAATGTTCGGCCCAGTAATTAGACTTTAAGTGTTGATTTTACTGTAATGAGGATAAAGACGGCATTCCTGGTAATCTTTTTGGAATTTGTCTTGTGTGTGTTATACACAGTATACTGCACTTACCTTGTTTTAAGAAAATGGGAAACCTATTTTGGACCTTCACCAGTAGCTTTTCTTTTTCTGTCTCTAAACAATGCATTCTCTTCTGTTATGACATACTGTAAATCAAGCTATTTGATAGCTGACCTTGCAATAAGAGAGCAAAAAGGCAAAGGTGACGCAAACCCGAGTATTTCTCCATAGATACAGAGAGGAAGGAGGAGATGCCAGAGAGTCTTCATCAGTTGTCTGGATACAGTTCGCTGTTATCCGCAGACCCATCTCCCAAAGCCATGACCATTAATTCTCATGATCTGACAGACATTTCAAAGGTAAGTAAAACTGGCAAATGCTTAGTTGATTTCCTTTCTGAGGTCAAGAGAACAAGTAAGCATTCGTTTTAGTTGTATATACTACTAGTGAAAAACAAGGAAACTATGCAAAACTACATCTAGGTCTGTCTCATAAAAATCCTTTTGATATGTAAACAGTGCTTAAAGTCACATTTTCTCTATGAATTTTGCAGGTTGAAAGTCCATCTGAAGAATGTTAGCTTTGAAGAGTTCACTAACTTTGTTGCTTTTAAATTGCAGGAGACAACAAGACAAAGA